CACAACCCCACACACACACACACACACACACACACACACACACACCACACACACACACACACACACACACACACACACACACACACAACACACACACACACACACACACACACACACACACACACACACACACACACACACACACACTCAGCTTTCATCCCCGGAACGCCGCGCGCAGACGCCCTCGATCTTGCCGCACTCGATGCTCACCCGCTATACGATCATCTTCAGGTCGTTGCGCGCGGGGCTGGCGGACGGGCGGACGGGCGGGATGCGCGGGCGGATGTGCCGACGGCCGGATGGGCGGCCGGGTGGGCGGCCGGGTGGGCGGCCTGGTGACCCCGCAATTAAAATCTGCGTTACTAGAAATTAACGCGCGTTGATAAATAGCGTCATGGCGGCCGGCTCCGGGGTAGCATCAGAACGGCATTAACTCTTTTATGTGTACCTGCTCGACACAGACAATGGCGCAAAATTGATTCAGTCGACAGTCGTGTTGGATAGCGTTAATACAATCCATTGAGATCGACAAAAGATGTCTATTTCGCTAAGCGAGGTAATTTCCTCTGCGTCACGTTTGGCATCAACAAAATAACGGGGGAAAGCACACACAAAGAGAGGCACGATGCGTGCGTGCGTGCGTGCGTATACGTATGTGCGTGCGTGCGTGCGCATGTACATATACGTGCGGCGCGTGCCTGCGTGTGTGTATACGCACGCCCGTGTGTGCGTGCGTGCGTGCGTGCGTGCGTGCGTGCGTGCGTGCGTGCGTGCGTGCGTGCGTGCGTGTGTGCGTGTGTATGCATGTGCGTGCGGCGCGTGCATGCATGCGTGCGTGCGTGTGTGTACGTGCGTTCGGCGCGTTCTTGCGTGCGTGCGTGCGTGCGTGTGTGTTTACGTACGTGCGGTGCGTGCAGTGCGCGCGTAGGCACACATGCGCACTTACAAAAATGTGTTATATATAAATTATAATTATAATTAAACTAATACAGTGGTGATGATTATAATGGCAGCAATAGAGCTAAAGTTAATGATGTCGACATAAACTCGGGGTCGGAGAATCATTAACATAAACATAACACGTAACCCTTGAATAGAAATGCTTTGCCGATCAAATAATTAAAAACGCAATATACATATGCATGTATGGACGCTATACAAAATGAAAGTGAGCCTGGCACATAGGAAATTATTATTATAAAGTAATATATATATATAGGTGTGCTGCGTGTGCACAAGTGCGCGCTGGTTGCTCGTTATTTTCTCTACTGTTTCTGTTGATTACATCAGAACGAGGACTATACTCCGTGACACTGTTTCTACAACGTTAATCCGTTCATCATCTGCTATTTATCCTTCAACCGACCGACAGTCAGCGGTGTCAAAATAATGATTAAGTCATTGCCGGCGTAATGGGCCTGTAATTGGTTGCGACAACGTCACGTGTCACTTTGGCGCGCGTCGTTGGCAACCGATGATGGTCGGTGAGCCATCCATCACATCGCGGTGGCTACTTGAAAACGACGATAAAATACGAAATGAGCTACTGAAGTCCCCGGATTAGCGTCTGCCACGCGCGCCTCGCAGACGCTGACTCAGGGGCCATGCCTGTATCGCTGTGAATGTAGGCTCGTAGTAGTAGTAGTAGTAGTAGTAGTAGTGTGTGTGTGTGTGCGTGCGTGCGTGCGTGCGTGCGTGCGTGCGTGCGTGCGTGCGTGCGTGCGTGCGTGTGTGTGTGGGTGTGTGTGTGTATGTATGTTTGTTTGTTTGTTTGTTTGTCTAGTGGTGTGTGTCGTGTGTGTGTGTGTGTGTGTGTGTGTGTGTGTGTGTGTGTGTGTGTGTGTGTGTGTGTGTGTGCGTCTATGCGTGTGTATGCGTGGCATGCATTGTTTCTTGAAGTCATGTTAGTTCATTTAGATTCTCGAATTTGCTGATGGCTTCAATGCTCAATTCTCTGACTCTTACCTTGTGAGGCAAGACGGCTGGTCACGGCTCCAAACATCTGATAAGGATCTACAAAGAGAAGTCAGAATTCTCCATTACACGCACACGAAACCACACACAAACACTGTATTAATTCTGCCCCATGCAGCATGACTGTGAATTCTGTTTTTTTTATTCATTTAGAAACCTCTTAGTGGCCGCCAATAGAATAACTGATCTTGCTAGATTTGAGAAAGAGAGATGGGGAGAGAAAGAGACCGAGAGAGAGAGAGAGAGAGAGAGAGAGAGAGAGCGCGCGAAATAGCGAGAAAACGTGCGCGAGAGAGATCCAATGTTAGTTGGAATTACGTACAGTACATCATTTACATATCATTAAGTAATAAGACATCCAGCGAGAGAGAGCTTAAAAAGAAATATATATATATATATATATATATATATATTTTATTTTTTATTTATTTATTTGTCGACTACCCAACTAATAATACCACTTTCCCTCATCCCATGAGGCGATCTGACATTCACTCGTGTCCAGTAATAGTCCGTTACGTATAGATAGCTTCTTATCGAACCTTCTACCACCTACCATGATATGATCCTTACGATGTCGTAATCGCACGCGCCCTCTGGCGATATGTAGCTCACGCACTCGCGTCTGCCGCCGCGCTAGGAACCGTCTACACAAAGCCAACAAGTTCTCTTTGTTGCGTTGCAGACGATGACGATGATGTAGAGTAGGAGGCGGAGGGCGGAGGGAGGAGGGGGGGTGCGGAAGGGAAGAGGGGGTCTCTATTGCACGGCCATTGTTTTCCTCATTATAGCCCTCGTGTGCGCAGCGCCACGCTCCGGCCAAATCCGCGATGGTTTGCATATCGCGCGGCGGAGAGCGGCTCCGCGTAACGTTTTAATTAATCGCGAACACAAAAGACGCGGCGCGTGTGCCGCCGCTCCCCGCCGTTGTGCGGCTAATGCGTGCAATATGGCGGCAGGCCGCCGCGTGACCTTGTTGTCGACGCGGGTAATTATCCGTGGCCCCGCACACAACAATAACACGCGGCCGTGCGGACGTGCGCGGTCAATTTTGGTGGTCAACCACAGCCCCCCCCCTCCCACAACGCCTGATGACCGAGCTCCCACCACGGCCCGGCCGTGTTCACGTGCACGTATCGAACACAAATTAATTAATTAGTTAGTTAATTAATTAATTGGCGCGAGATGACGACATAGATAATACCAAAGAGGTATACAGAGAGTCATAGACTGATTTTATGATACACAAAATAAATACGTATACACAGGCCTATATACATATATATATATATATATATAATTCAGGTGATATCACGCTTCAGGTGATAACACGTTTCAGGTGATATCACGCTTCAGGTGATATCACGCATTGATCAGGTGATAGCACGCTTCAGGTGATATCACGTTTCAGGTGATATCACGTCTCAGGTGATATCACGCTTCAGGTGATATCAAGCTTCAGGTTTGTGCGTCAGACAGTCGGTCGGTCGGTCGGTCGGTCGGTCAGTCGGTCGGTCGGTCGGTCGGTCGGTCAGTCGGTCGGTCGGTCGGACGGGCTGTCATTCGGTCGGTCGGTCGGTCGGTCAGTCGGTCGGTCGGTCGGTCGGTCGGTCTGTCTGTCTGTCATTCGGTCGGTCGGTTGGTCGGTCGGTTGGTCGGTCGGTTGGTCGGTTGGTCGGTCGGTCAGACGGACGGTCGGTCGTTCGGTCGGTCGGTCGGTCGGTTACCGTGCCGCCGCAAAGTTGACCACTCCTCTCCGATTCCTACACCCACTGCTCTCAAACCCTACCCTCCACTCCTACTCCCATTCACATCTACCCCCCACCTCACTCTTACCCCTACCGCTCTCAAACCCCATCCTAAGCATACCCTCACCTCACATCCACTCCTTCGCCTTGCCCACCCCACCCCACCCCTACTCCCACTCACAGCTACCCCCCACACACCTCACTTTATGCCTACCGCTCTCAAACCCCATCCTAAGCATACCCTCACCTCACATCCACTCCTTCTCCTTGCCCACCCGACTCCACTCCTACGCCCACCCCTCTACAACTCTACCCCTCTTCCACCGCCACCACTCTCCTACCGTCATTCCTCTCCCACCCTCACTTCACAGATTTCCCACGCCGCAGCGCTCCCTCCGGTCAGACTTCCGACATAAATCCTCTTCCATCAAACGGTTCAGCGTGGCGCGGCACACACACACACACACACACACACACGCGCGCACGCACACACACACACACACACACGCGCGCACGCACACACACGCGCACGCACACACACAC